ATTAAAGGAGTATTTCACATTCCTCGTCTGTCTTTCATTCGATCCGGAACAGCCAATTATCCTCTCTTCTCTTCGGAATCTACCTTCCACGTGGGTTCGTGGAATTATGTTAGCAGGATGCGATATCTAGGCTCCGATAATTCCCAAGTACCAGTTCTCTCTCAAGACCTGCCGCAATATCCTTAACCATCCCATCAGAAATTAATCTCGAGGAAACGCGGCGACGTTGGATAACCTACGAGAATTAGAATTGTTATGGGAAGCTCTCTCCGGCGAGAGACTCTTCCTCGAATCTCTTTCCCTCGTTCACTTGTCAAAAACGTAAAAAAAAAGGCTCAGTACGTTTTAAGAAAATTCACATTTTTCTCGCGACGATATTGCACGTCCCTAACTTCATCTTTCTCTCTCTCTCTCTCTCGCGAGAAAACCTAGCTGTCTTACGGCCCGAGTTTATAAGTTAGTTTCTCCCATAGGAAAACCTTGCAATTACGAACCTCGCAAAACGTTTTACGCTCGTGAAGTTCCTCGCTACATCATCCCTTTGGACCAATCCCGTAACCATCGTCTGTACCATTGCTTTCTTTTCACCGATTTTATCACAGTCTGAATATTTCGGGCAACTTTCACGATTAGATTCTTCGAAACCTGTCGCAATTGTTTCACGTTCTCGCGTGATTTAGAAATTCGACGTCTCCAAGCACGAATCCTACAGCATACGTTTGTATTACGAAGTAGCTTCGAATCGTTATAGGAGTATGATTCGATACCTCAATAAATGGAAAATGGATATAAGGATATAATTGGAAAATTCTACAAAATTATTTATTGTTGCTAAACGTATTTTACGCAAACAGGTTAAGGTTTAATCTGTCTAAAGTTTAAAATCTCGACAGTTTTCGTAATGCATATTACGTTACATTAATATGTATGCAAGTATGTAATATAAAAACGTAAAAATATATATAAATGGAAATGTATCGCATATTTCGAACTTTCTACAATACTTGCGATGAAACAGTTTTTACAAAAGTTTGTGAAATATTTATCATTCACGAAGACTAATTAAGAGTTTCAAGACTGACCGGCAGTTTCAAGTTGTTGCAATTCTAAGGCGTCGAATCATTTACTTTTCATTTCAAGAATGAGCCTGCACATTTCTCTGTACATAGTATACAGTACTTATATAGTTTATATTACTTATGTAATTTCCCAAATTTCGAACGACACCGCGAGTCATCTCAACGAGTCTTATAACTCCAACATTCAACGTTCAAGGCCCTAGCATCGGAAAGTTTCTCTCGGTCGAGAACGCGGCTTTCGGGGG